GACCACCCTGCTGCCTGTCAGGGAGAGACGGAGCGAGGAACCTCGCGATTGGTGCAGAACACCGCCCGGGTCCCACCTACTGCCTACCCCGGGGGAAGGGAGAAAGCATTCTTAAAGGGCCAACGCAGCAAAACTCTGGACAAGTGGATTCCCCGGCGTCCAGAGACCAATACCTGCTCGGACGTACTCATTCCCCGAGGCCTTCCGACGGTGCCACCAGCAGGAAGCTGTCGTAGTAACTTTGACTCTGGGATGTGCCCTGTCCCCATTCCAGGCAGGGCCCCAGAGAGCACAGCTGAGTGACAGACATTGCCGCTGGCAACGTGGGGTGCTGCGCCCCTGGGAATGGGTTTGGTGCTGCTGCGGTGCCTCAGCAGAAGCCCCTTGTGAAGCCCACATGGTCTGGGAGAATCTTCTCAGTGTCCCGAGGTGGATCAGTCACCAAAGGGCTGGAGCAAGGGATGGGCTTCACACAGGAGATCCTGCTGTTGCTTGGATCTGCCAAAGCCCAGGATGGGGGTGGTGGCAAAGGCGGGAAGGGTATGGGGTGTTTAGGATGGAGAAGGAGATGTCCCCGTTCCAGAGGGCCAGAGCTCACCCTGTGGAAGGCTCTGACCCAGATAATCCAGGGAACTGAGGGATGACTGGAGATCCTGCAGAGTAGGATCCCTCATGGCAGGAAACGCCACCTGCCACAGATGGGACCAGCACCATCCCCACTGCATCAGTTTTGGGGTCTGGCTGTTGCCCTGCAGAGCAAAGAGGTGTAACGCCTTTGCAGGCTTGACATGGTCTGTAGCATTGGGCTGGATCTTCTGTCACCACAAAGACTGAAAATCCAGGGCCCAGTGACAGCCCACCTTGTTTCTCCCTGCCAGTGCCTTTCCAGTGTAGTACTGGGGAGCAGGGGGGAAGCCATGGTTAGGGCTCAGGCTGCCTGCTGGTTATCACCTCCTTCCATCCCCCTCTCCCAAATCATTTACTGTCCCCACCCCCCGAGGCATCTTGCCAGGACCCTTTGGTGCAGGGGACATCCATGTCCCCAGCTGTAGCACAGCCCGCACAATGCAGAGGAACACTTGCTCCT